GAATTCTGAAATATCTCTGATGCTTGCTTATAGGAACTCTCCCGTACAAGATATTAATAACGAAAATATTCATTTTTTAATATATTCATTAATAGACAAGTTTTCCTGCTTTAATATTAAAAATTAAATACTGGAGTGGAACTTTAGTTTTCCTTAAATGAAAATAAAAAAATTTTCATCATCACTTTAACAAATTACCGCAGATAAATTTTAAATTTATTTTAAAGTCTAGCCAATTTATGGTTTTTTATCATATAATGTCAATCAATTGTTCTTATATATAAATACATATATATATATAAAGAAAAGCATTTAAATATCCTATATATAAAGTGGGATAATTTTTGAAGTGATACAAAAGAAATCCTTTTCAAGCAATAACAATAACAACAACAACAAAAACTTAATCAGAAATTTATTCCAAAATATTGTCGCATAATTTTTCTTTTTTAACATTTTCTTGCTCATTCACATATAGGAAAGCAAGAACAATAAGAAGCAAAAGAATTCAACAAAATAGAAATACTTTTGTATCCTTTCTTAAAGCTTCTTTAAAAAAAAAAAACAAAAATAAAAATGGCAATAAAATATTGCGCCTTCTAAGCGTTTTTCTTTTTACCTTTATCTTTTTTTTTTAGCACTTCTTCTTGCATATAATTTTAAACCATCTGTCATCGCGCTCTGATATACTTTGTATAATATTATTATTCTACTCTATATAGATTTTCTTATCTAAAAACCAGAAATTTTATCACCTCACCACCGACCATTTTTATTGTAACCCCATTTTATTTAATTTTTTCTTTTCTTTTCGTTTTAATAGAACAAACAAACACACAACTTTTCAATTATACTACATAATATGATACATAAATAAGAAAAGCTATAAAACCTGAATCATAGCATTAAAAAAAATTTTCTTGCAGATATTTTCAATGTATAAAAATTATATTTTGCAAGCAACTTACAAAAATTCAACGCTTAAGGCAGTCACCGCCGCGCCGCGTTTTGTTAAAAAATCATAGATATAAAATGACAAAAAAAATAAAAAATAAAGAAACAAAAATAAACTAAAATAATCTCATTCGTTACATTCTATAATCTTTTGATGGTGCGGCAATATTGTTAACAGTTTGTAGATTCACAGGGGATTCACAATATTATATGCAAGATATTGTATTCTCCTTCCAATACGTATGTGTTTGTTTGAGCTGAATTTGCGACAAAAATAAGTAGTTTTGCATAACACTCTTTTTTATGTCCCTTTTTTTAAAACCAGAAAAATCTTTTCTATATATAATTTTCACATAAAAGGGAAAAAAAGTAATGCTTAAATATTACTTGTATGTTAGAAAAAAAAGGATATTTTCATTTTGTATTATCCTTTTACTGGTTTTGAGACAAGAGAGCTCGCGATATATTTTATGATATGCAATTTAAGTTGTTCTAACCCTTTTTTATAGTTCTTCATTTGCTATTTAAAGAACAAATTACAGAATGCTTGAATTTTATCCATTTTTATTTTATTTTATTTATGTTTAAAGGATATTATATACAGGATTGCCAGTTTAAAAAATTTTTTTGTTGGTCTTTTATTATTTGTTATTTTAAATTTGATTTTTATTTCATCAAATTTCATTATAAAATAGAATCTAAAATAATATTCTTAAATTCCGAAAAGTTAAAAAACGTTTCAAGGAGAATAATGGTGCCAAATAATCTGACTCTTTCTTAAAGAAATGTGATCGTGGTTTAATTATAAAAGCATTATATTAATTTACGGATTTGTGGAGAGCACATTTTAATTGGATTTGTGAGAGTATTGTTTCAAAAACCTCTCAGAAATGAAAAATTTTTGTTAATGATTTAATTTATGATTTTGTTCCATTGTCTTCTTTTTCTCCAATTACTCTTTCGTATATGAAAATTTGTAACTTTTTGAACTTGAAAATTTGCAACCCCTACATTTCCATTTCAACTTCATGCGTAAATTTATTAGTCAAAATTGCAAAAGTTTGTAATATCTAAAAATTTTTGATTTTAATTCTAACAAAATAACAATTTTTCAAATACACAAAGAAAAAATTTATTCATTCACAATAATGATTAAAATTATATACTTCTGCTCTCAGATTTCTGTATGATTCATAAACCGCATTTACAACTTATTTACATAAACCCTTAAATCATTAGGTGAAAAGAAAACTCAGGCTTGTTTTTCAAATTTCAAGTCAGGAAACCTTTAATATTCTATCATTATTCTTTGGTTGAAAATGCCAGTTTTAAGCAAGCCATAACACTTATGTAAAATTTCGTGCTCGGCATAGCTATGAAAAAATATCAGCTTCAACCCAATGATTTTAAATAACTTTTATCATATTAGCTGATAGTCTTATAAGGTGAAACTAATTTTTTTTTCATTAATTTAAGTTTCAATTATTCTTAAATATTTTATTAAGTTAATGAGGCTCAAGGCATTTAATACACGTACTTCTGATTATTTAAATTTCAAAATATTAAAAATTAAATAAAATTGCATTCAACCATCTCAGATTAGTTTAAGGATAATTAAATTCTTAATAAATTGTATGATTTCAAGTAGAAAAAAAAACACAGGATTTACGTATCGTATACCTTACATAATACGTGTGTATATGGATAAACGTATAATTAAATCTTAAAACGTAATCTTTTTTATGTTTAAGAATTTAAAAACTACTTTATCATTCTCTAGCACCGTCTGTATACCAACCTATATACAAGTATACTAAACCTATACGATGCGTGCAATCATAATAAATTTAGCGTTGTGAATATTTTATTATTAGTTTTTCAGTTTTTGAAAACTTTTATGTACAATAAAAAGTGAAAAAAAAACAAAAATTTTCCGGCTTTACTAACCAGGTAACAAGAATTTTTATTACATTTTCACAGAATGCTTTAACTCTTAATTGCGAAAAAAAAATTACAGAGTAGAAAACTTGTTCCGGTCCTTTTATTTCTGTTTTGTTATTTTTTCTCTCTCTCTCTTATTTTTACATTTGTTGCAACATATTATAAATTTATTTTTTATTTTTTCTTTTTTACATTTCACCTCTAAGGATTTATTTTTATTTACCCACTAAGTCAAGATGAAATATTTTAAAGCAAAAATTATAATATGAAAAAAAAAAAGAGAACACAGAGACTAATATGAGCATATTTTACAACAGAAATAAAAGGAGAAAGTTTTAAAAAAAAGTAAAAAAATTATTTACAACTTTCACTAAAAAAAAAAAAATTGTAAAATTCTGCCTCTAGTGGCAGAATAGCCGCTATATTTTATTTATACTATACCCAACTACTACAAATAAAATAACAAGAAAAGATAAATTATAGCACTGTTTCTCTATATCAAATTTCTCTTTCCTATTTTTACAACATCTCTGTAGATTTTTATACAATTACATATCTGAAATTTTTATTTAAATCCTAGTTTCTCTTTCTGTAATAATTATATTGTTTTTAACTCTGACATGGGAAATTAAAACGTTGAAAATAAAAAATTTATTAGGTTCCACTAATTTTTATTGAAAATTTTTTTATGTATGTAGGAATTCAAATTAAAATTATTGCCCGACATAAAGGATGATTTCGTTAAAAAACTGCTGGAGCTTAATTTATTCAATTCAATCGTATATGTTTTAACTGTTCAAGAATAAAAAGTTGAAATTTTAATAGCAAAAATAGATCTTGCTAAGAAATTCTTTTGCTGCAGAAGAAAATTTCTAAATACCTACCCCCCCTTAAAGTTTCGATCTCTAACTCAAACTCCTAAAAATGATGTTTTTTGAAAATACAAAAATTTTTCTAAATTCCGAGAATGCGTGAAGAACAGCGACTTCTTACCTGTGATTTCCTTCTTCAACAGCAAAGCCAATATTATAAGCACAAAATAAGCGTTGAAATCAGTCATCGCAAATTTTTTTTCCGAAAGCCCTATAGGGGAGGTTGTAGGGGAGGTATAGGGGAGGTTGTTTTATAGTAAGCTGTATAAACCTGAAATCTCAATATTTTAACTTTTTCTATCTCGAAAGTTACTTGCTTTTAAATTTAGTAAAATTTTACTTTTCACCCATTTGTTTCATTGTCATTGCATTGAAATAAATTGCTAGTGGAAATTTGTCACCAGCTTTACAGAACATGGTTTTGATCCGAATTCATTTGAAAGCGAACTTAATTTGCGTTGAAAGATGGAAAACCAATCAGATTGAAAAAGAGCATTTTTTTTTTTATTCTTTTCCTGGTTCTAAGAGTTTCAAAAAATCTTATATAGTCTTGTAAAAATTTTTAAATTGAAATGAATTTGAATTAAATATGGTCATCAATGGTAACAAGCACAATCAATGAAAATTTAAGTTACAAAATTAGATAAAATTATTAAAGCTTGTATATTTTGTCTGATTTTGTCATCTTTTCAAAATTAGCTGCTCAAATCATTAATAACATAAAAAAACAAATACGTCTTTGTGTATATACTAGAATTATATAATAATCTTAAGTCTCTTCGTATATACATTTCTCAGCTTCTTACAGATTACCTCTTTGTAATCCGTTCTGCTGTTTACCATTTACTGAATACTAAAAATTTGTAACTGCTGTCAATAACCTTAAAAAAATTGCTGTTTTTATTTTACAATTATAAAAACAATTTCCACAATAAATATCAAAAAAAAGAAAAAACTTGTGTCTCTTATAAAACTTGAAAATTTTATTACAAAACATATTTTTATTTCTTAAGTACTTCGATGCAAAAGTATAACAAGCATAGAGCAATAAGGTACCTTATATCTACACAAACTTAAACTCCGTAGCTACAGAAAATTTCCTTGTCCAAGATGAATTTTATCTTTTTTTTTTTGTTTTTCTTTTTTTTATTATTATTTTTAGAATATAAAAAAGAAAATCTTCCAATTTATAATAACAACCGTTTTTTTTGTATTTTCATTGCATATTTACAGGTGATGAAAGATTGCATTCATCAATTTTATCACTTGAAAACATGGACAGACATAAGGGTGGTGTTTACATTTGTACAGCAAATAATGGAGTTGGAAATCCAGCATCAAGTCAAGTTGTAATGCATGTTTTATGTAAGTAAAGCAATAATGATAATAATAAAAGTAACACACTATTACAACAACAATATATAAAAATGTTGACAAGTTTATTGGAAAAACAAAAAACAAAAAATTAAGAGAAAATTGTAAAAGACTAGAAAAGTTTGTTTTTTTCTAACAAGAGAGTTTATTGAAAACTTTTGTCTAAGAGTGAAAAAGTGTAAGGGGGCAAAAGAAAAAACGATAAAGAAAATTTCTCCCTAAGAAATTTACTCTCCTTTTTTGTCGTGGCTACAATGATATTTTCATTTCAATTTTATTGGAACTTTTTTAAACAATTTTTTAGCAATTTCGATATAAACATACATACGTACATAAAATTTTTTTTTCCATCAATTGATTTTTCTTTGTAACCAAGGAAATTGAAAGACTTGTGATCGTAATTTACAATCAAAATTCTTTTAATACTTTTTTTTTCAAAACTTATGCTCCCATGCATCTAGATCTTTGTATTCTATATTATTGATGTCTCAATCTTATCTTTACATGAATATATACATTCTGTTAAGCATTTAACTTCATTTGATATACGAAAAATCGATGTGAACCCATTGATTTTAAACAAATATTATAGCATTCATTTAGATATGCATGTATGTATGTATGTTTTATACAATTAAAGACTTTAAACCCAATTTTGAGGGGCTGAATATTCTTAACTAATCAGTTTCTGATTTCATAGTTTATGATTATCGAAAAATCATTTGTAAGAATTTTGTTACTCTAAAGCATATATGTAATTTTCAAAATAAAATTTTTTCAAGGTAATAGAATTTGCGTGAAGTACTTTTACGAAAGAAAATAATGTGTGACAGGAATAATTCTGGAGACAAGACAATTCGAACAACGAAATTATTAGTTACATACAATTTAAATTATTCACAACAATATTCTGACAAAATTTCCCATCGTCAATATTAGTTTTTTACTTTATCGTAAATTTTTAATAAAAGAAAGCTCTATTTTTAGTTTCCTACTTTAAGAACTTCATTTTTAGGAAACCGAATTTCATACGCTGTAGTAAATTTCGGGAAAAAATTGTATTTGACAAAATTTTAAAAAAAGTAGAAAGGCGGGAGAAGTTGATAGCCAAGAATTCATTCAAACAGAGTTTATTTCCAGTGACCATTCATTCATTATAAAATTCTACTGCAATAGTAGAGCACGCAAAACTTTTAAAAATCAAGTCGAAAATAAAAATGGGAAAAATTGTTATTAAATTCAATGCACATTTGAAAATGAATTATTTACAATTTAGATTTAAAACTAAATCTCAATTTAAAACAAATCGTAAGAAATGTTCCACCAATGAAAAGAAATTTAAGTAACTAATTTTAGAATCAAATTTTTTTCATTTTTAATCGTAAGTGCATTAATTTTCAGCTTAAATTAAACTAAAAAAGCTCTTTACAGTTAAATAAAATTATAAGATTTCAAAAAAATTTCAGTTGATTTAAAATTTCGGATTCAATTGATCTTCCAGACCCATATATAATTATTTCTGTGAATTTTTTCAATACGTTAATTAACATAATTATTGCATAAAAACTGATAAATTTTCTTCTCTTATATTAATGAGATCAAATAATATTCATTATGATGCATAAGTGATGCACAGATCTTATAGTATTTAAAGATATTTTTGGGTTAAAAAATTAAAAATTAAAATATAAATGATTATAGTATTCATTTTTTCTTCAGTTTTTCCCAATATGGTTCACATTTATTAATTAATTCCAATAATGATTTTAAGTATAGCCGTTCCAAAATTAAATTGAACGTTAAAACTCGTTATCTTATGCATTAAAATACCATAATAAATGCGTATAAAAGTCTCAAAGAATTTAATTTAACTATTTTTATGCGAAATATGTTTAAATCGAAAAATTATTTCAATTCCAAAGTAACAGAAAGAAAAAACAGGAAAACATGCCTTGCATTTTTATGCAAGTATAATTTTTAATTTTTTTTTCGATATTGTTTGTTCGGTAAGTGAAACTTCTGGAAATTGAAAAAATGTTAAAGGGAAAAAAAGTTGTCATTTAAATCAGGACGTAAATGAGACGTTATACTTTTACGAAATAAATGCCTGTGGCACAATTATCAATACAGCAATCCAGTAGAAATTTCAGTCCTCTGTTATTTTTTCACTTAATTTTTTTTTTCTATTCTTATTTTTAATATTTTTATTTATTATTGGTTTGTGTCTTCGGAAATTAAAATTTTCCCTTTTTACCCTACCGCATTGTGTATACAATAGGTAGATTAGTGATGGCAACAAATTTTGCATATCGAGTTTTCGGTGGGAACGCACTTCTCTATTGTAGGGAAGTGCAAATAAACTATTTTTAGCAACCTGTCGGTCTCTCAGTCACGGATTGATCAACTTTTGCGGTATATCAGGTCTGGGTAACTGTTTTAAATTTTTTGATCATTATGAAGAAAATATTCAACAGATTTACTTGAAGTTTCATATATAAGCTTCGCTCGACCGTCTGCGAAACCTCCTAACTTTTGGAAGAAATCAGGCATCAGGAATTGGAGGTTTACTACGGGTCAAATATACATTTTTGCGTATATAGAGAAATAACCAACCGATTTCACTGAAATTTAATATTCAAATCCGTATTAAAAAACTGAACATACAAATTTTTTGGAAAGATCAGGGCTCGGAGACTGATCTGAGATGCAGATTTTACATTTTTTACCATATCTACGGAACTAATTTATGGAATTTCTTGAAATTTGATTTTTGAGTTCTGGTTGTTACCGAAACTAGCGAGCATTTCATGGAATTCGAGGAGTACAAAGGGAAACTACTAAAGAGCCAAATTTACATTTTTCTACGTATGTTAACTATAAGCTTACTAATGCCCCAAAAATTTGAAAAGAAGTTTTTAACTGGCATTTTTATAATATTCTGTAACACTTTCACTTAACTAGACAATACAAGTTTCGGTCGGTTATGTGCTGAGCACATCAGATTTTTTATTTTCTCGCCTTTAAAACAGAAATATTTTTTATTTCATTTTTCTGCTCTCTCGGCTTTCTTTTTGTGTTTCTTTTAATTTTTATGTTTAAAAATTGAAATAAATTTCAATATAAATTAAATTTCTACATACAAACATACATACAAAGCAAATTTTTGTGAATAATTGCAATTTTTTTTTAAAGAATTGTGTATTTCCTTTGTTGAGATTTCCTTTGGGTACGGTGTACCCAGAAATGATAAAGATTAAAATATTTTAAAAAGACAAAAAATTTACGAATGAAGGGATTGAAAAAAATTCAGCAAAAAATAAAAACTTTATATATATATATATATAATTATATATATAATGTATATTTTTCAAGAATTTGAAAAGATTTTTTTAAAAAATCTCATTTTAAATTAAATTGTAAATTTTTTAAGAGATTTCTTTAATTTGGAATATTAATTAGTCAAAGAATTAATGTGAAAAATGAGGAAAACACAAAAGTCACAAATTAATTTTAATATCGAAATACTCACACACACTCTACGCAAATAAATACAGTTTATTATAATAATAAATTATAATTTAAGTTGAAATTTTTGTGCAGAACTGAAGTTTGGGAGCATCTCAAAATAAGGAAAAGAGTGAATACTGAAAAATATTTTGGAAATGCAACGTAAATCAAAATTAATAAGTTGTATGTCATAAATGTATATATATATTATGTGTACTTGCTGCATGCGTGTGTGAATCTATTTTACTATATTAATTCAGAAGAAATTGGCTTTGCATCAAAATATTTACTCGCTTATAACAATACGATTAAATGCAAAATTTTTATTTCAATATTTTAATTTTGTCGCAAAAGCATAAACTAAATTTAAACCGATGAAACCGAAGAGAGAGAGAAATAAAAGATTACTACATATAGGTTTTTTTTTGATATAAACAGGACATTACGTTTATTTTCAAACTAACTTTGTTAGTTTGAAAATAAACGTAATGTCCTGTTTATATCTTTGCGACATTACTACATTGACAGTTGCACGAAGTTTTATAAAAATATTATTCAATTCGCTGATTTAAATGTATATTCCTGTATGAAATGTTCAACTTTGAATCAAGAATCAGAGTTAAAAACCTAGCCTTCCAGCTAAAGTATAGGCGGATTCCGTTGAGTTTTGGCAGCGTTATGGTTGATTCCTTGTATCTCCTGCTGAAAATAACTGACTCTGTCTTTTGAGTGTTGATATATAGTAGACAGTCAGAATAGAGGAAGTGCTTCCCATATACCATAATCATCAAGTCATTAACGTAGTCGATCTTCTCCTCCAGAAGTACCAGTAATTGATTAATGACAGATTCCAGAGAAGGGGATCTCTTCAAAAACTCTGTAATTGATTAATTATAGGAAAAGGGGACCTAATTATACATGCGTCTATCAACTTTTTCAATATATTTAGTGGAAATGATTTTTAAACTGAAAGTTGTAAAATCCATTGGGCTTTTATAAGAGCTTCAGTTTTATAAATTAAGATCACCCTAGCATTCCATGTCCTTGGAATGTAATTTAAGTCTATCCAGCATCCGTAGATATTTCTCCACCAGATGGTCTCCACCTACATTGATAAAAAAGTACTTTTTTTTAAAATTTGAAAGGAAAACTAATTGGTACAATAGGGGTCATAGTTATATTATAAGAAATATGTTGAGATAAACTGCGGTCATTCGACACAACACATTTGTGTTCGACACTTCAGGAAAGCGAACGACTAAATATTTAAATCAAACTAGAAGAATTTGGTCGATAGTTAGTGTTATTTCAATATTATTTAGAGACAATATGAGAATTTTAACTTAGTAAGAGAGTACGTATAGCTCAGAACTGGAAATTACACTAATATTTTGTACACCAATACAATATTTTTTGCTTTCTAAGCGTCCCTTCAGCATGTAAAGGGATCAGACATAAAATTATAAACCGACTTAAGCAGTTGAATTCTATACACAGAATAACTTCGTAAGCATCACACAAAAATTTAAATTATTACTTAAATTTAATTTTAATTATAAAGTATAAATTTAATTTATATGCACACATACTTTTAAGTTATTGCTATGCTGCGATAATTTCGACTTAAGAGTTAAAATATAAATTTAATTAAATACATGAAAAGTTATTTTTTCCGCCGATCTGTAGAATTATTTTTATTTTAATATCTTTGTACCTTTACGGTAAACTAATTTCTCATTAAAATAAAAAACAACACAAAAAAGAGAAAAAAAATATGCATTCCTTTTAAAAGTTATAAAAATGTCAAAGAGTAAAACCTAACATTTCAGACGTTAAAAGCCATAGAAAATTCATTCTTAAGAAAAATTAAATTCTCAAAAGAAAATGTTCTCTTCTTAAATAACATTTCCTTTTTAATCCTTATTTAAAAATTAAAAATTAAAAATGAAAAAAAAAAAAAACTTGCTCTATTTCTTTAAAAAGGATCCTCTTTGAAAAACAAAATTTTTCACACTTGAACATCTTGTAGACATCTTAAAAAAATTATTTTTTATATTTCGCTTTTTTTTCTTTTTATTTTTGATGTTTCTCATTTTTAATAGTACAAAACAGAAGATTAAAATAAAAGTATAAAAAACTTTTATACAAGCCGACCTACGCCTTTATATATGCAAAATAATATTTTATTTTTAACACTTTCTCATTTCATAAATAAATTTTAAAAAATTAAAGAAGCCAAAAATAATTTTACGTTTTCTCGAATTTTTGATATTTTCATGAAAATAATTTTGTAAACGAATTGTGGAATTTATTTGAAACATTCTCTCACAAAACTCACAGAACCTCTCATTATTTAAGAATGTAAAACAAAAACAAAGCCAATACTCGTATTCAGCTTTAAATATTTTAGAATTGCATTCAAATGCTTTTATGTTTTAAATTGACATTGAAAAGAAGTTTTTTTTCTAAACTTAATTGATAGTTTATTAATAGAATAGCTCCAGGAGGCTTGATATAATTCAAATAAAGACTGAGTCTAATTTTGATCTAAAAATCTCTAAAATTCGATTTGTTAAAGACTTGCGTCGGTTCATAACAAAATTTTGAGAATTTTCCTGAAAATTGTTTTCCTGTAATCTGAAATTGTTAATAAATAAACAAAATATTAAAATTTTAGATTTTTAAAGTGATTTTTTTTTCACTATTTTAATATTTTTGTAGTTATACACTTAAGTGGTTTCGAAGAATAAATTATATAATACTGCAAAAGTAACTCTCGAACACAATTAATATAAAACCAATACATATTATTATAATTTATTTTATTAGAATTTCGGAAAATTTGTTAAAATTTGCCAAAATTTAATTTGAACATTAAGAGATCTGAATAATAACCGCTTAAATCACAATCTTAATATAAACAACATGTCATTCATTCATATAACACTTTATATCAGTAGTTTAATCGTAAAAAATTAAATACTTATATTTAAATTAAATTGTGTATTTTTTAATAACGTAAATGCACATAGAAGAATTTACGCCCATTACAGACATTAAAATCATATCGTAAATATTCACAAACATTTTCATCATTATAGCAATTTTTTGGTTTTATTTTGGTTTCGTTTTTTCTCTCTCTCATATATAATAGAAATATCCTTCTTGTATAAAATCATCCCATAGCATCAAAAAAGCATAATTTTGGCTTTTTAGTATTACATTAAAATTCTACTAGCAGCAGAATATTGTATATATCAACACTTATGATTCTTTAGAGAGAAACACAGGAACTAGCACCGTGCGGGGCAAACTAGAATATAACAAAAAAAAAACAAAAAAAAAAACAACATACACATATTTTTCATTCCTTGTTCCGAAACATACTTTTTTCTCCATCTTTAAACACAAGTGTTCTCACATTAACGTTTTGTAAATTTTTCCGAAAAAAAAAATGTTTAAAAAAATATTAAAAAAATGCCAGTGAGGAATCACTTAATATCTTTACAAGGATAATTTAAATAACATTATGTAGGTACGTATGTACTTATTTATGAAAAAAATTATAATGCTTAACATTATGTAAATAGTTTATTTTTTGAACGCTGAACTTTTCTATAAAATATGTGAAGAGAAAAAAAACATTTTTTTTTTTTTCATAAAAATTCCAAGGGATTTTTAATTTTTTGTGTTATGTTGGGGAAATTAACAAAAGTACCTAAAAAAAAAAACTGTTCATGTTTTGTGAAATGTATCTTATTACTATTATGTGTATGTATGTATTGATAAATTCATATATGTACAGATGTGGTCAAAATATATGCCGAAATATGTTATATAAATTGGTTGATACTTTGTTAAAAGTTATTTTTCTACACGGTTAACTTTTCATCTTTATTTAATAAAATTAAAACTTTTCATAATTTTTGGGTTTTTTTTTCCTTTAATTTATCATAAAAAGTAGATTTTAAATTGAGCATTTTTGTATAATAGAGAAGTGAATTTTCCATTTTTAATTTTAAACATTTTGTTATTGGCTCTTAAATATTAAACTATAAAAATTTTTATATTTAAATTGTTGCGAATTTTTTAAAATCGAAAGAAGTATTTGCATCTTAAGAGATGAAAATGTTAAGAGATTGAATGTGTAGTTAATAAAGAATTTAAAATAAGAATTTTGACAAGGCAATTAATATATAGCGCCTAATATTTAATAGATGATTCGAATTTGTTGGCTGAGTGCCATTTTGATCCATTTGAAGTTTAACAACATTTTATTTCAACTCTAATCGTTTAGATTTCATAAATTTTTATTAGTAGCTTTATTATTCAGTAGTTTTAAGGGTTTGAATATAAAGTTTCGTTCACTTTCGGTGAAGGGATCAAGAGTTATAGTAAATTAATGGAGGTGAACCAAAGTAACATCTGAATATTTATAAAACTAAATGAGATAGGAAAAAACGGATTACATGTTGTGAAAGGCCATCCTTGAAAACATATGAAAGTGTTCTTAAATGAAAAATTACAAAAGTGGCGTATAGATCAAAATAGCACTCGAGCAAGAATTTATCAAAAGAAATTTTTAGTAACAAAATTAAATATTTATTTTATATATTACTACGCATAACGGCTGAATTAAATTTAATTTTTTTTATGTGCATTAAATCATAAACTTTCTTTCAAAAATGAAAAACCCTCTCTTATAGAAAACATGCCCCAAAATATTAGAAATTATAAAAATTTTAATTTTATCCGTATTTTGTTAGGTAATAGAAATTCATCTTCTAATCAAATATCATGCTGTTACCTCGGAAACTAAATGGCGAATCTAAAACCGAAAACGGATTTGAAATATCCTAAAAATTTTGATTGCCCGCGTTTTTAATGTAAACAAAGTTCTGTCGTTCATCCAGCTTTAATATTTTGCAAGATGATCTTGGAACAAAATATCTTGGAAGGTGCTTCTGATTAACTTTCTTTTTACCAAAATTTTTTATTTATTTATATGACAAAGTCATTTTTTCTCTAAAAGTTTTTAGTATTTCATTTCACTAGAACTTATTAGAAAAAATTAAAATATTACAAAAGTCTTGCCAAGCAATTTCGTCCAATTAAATAAATTTTTTATCCATTAATATTTAAAAATATTCAAATAAATATTTCATTGAATTTCACCAAAAAAAATAGTAGTTTTCTAGGTCCCATCGCAGACCCTAGTCAATATTTCCATATTATTAATACATACCACAGCTTATAAATAAACTTAAAGAAAAACCGCATTATTTCGAGACATTTAATAAAAGTGTTCCGGAATAATTTTTTTTTTTCAAATACAAATACCAACACATGCATATATATGAGTGTGTAATAATATATTAATTGTGTTTTAAGCCCAACATACCGGAATATACTTACGAAATACAAACAGCATACCGATAAAAATCTTTATTCTTAAAATCATAAATTTAAAATCGGCATTCATACTTATCACACTATTTTTATACCCGCATATATGTACTAATATGTGAAATATGTGGTCTTTAAATATTGTTAAGAATAATTTTAGTCAAGGACTAAAATAAAAACAATTCCATATGAAATTTAAATTCAAAAAATAATGAAAAATAAAAATAAAACCAAACATATTTTTCTCATTCAATAATGTTCACAATTTAATTTTCAGATCCACCTGAAATCACCGTTGAAAGACCAGTTGTATTTTCTGGTGAAGGACATGAAGCAATGTTAGTATGTATTGTACATGGTGAAGCTCAACCAGAGGTAAGTGTTTTGTTCCTTTTTTTTTAAATATGTTTTTTTCTCTTCTAACGCTTTTGTTTGTATTTTTCTTGTTTTTTTGTTTAAAAACAATATATTCAAATCAATTTTCCGAATAAAAACAAGGAACTATTCAAAATATAAAAAAAAAAAGGATAATAGACATTCTATTGTTAAAACGTAATTCTATTGTATGCAAATTATTTTTACCCCGTTTTCACACAAAAAAGAAAATGTTTCTGAACGCAAAAAAAATATTTTTCTTTCCTTATTATTTTTTTTTTTTTTTGCTCTTTTGGAAAATGTGAAATGAATTTCATTCAAAGGTACAAAAATTTAAATGACACGTGAATTTCATTTCAAAGTGAAAATATTTTAGGATATTTGAAATATTTTTATATCTTTAAATATTGAATAAAATTTCAAAAGTTTTCATTTATTTTTGGCTATTGTTTCACAACATCGAGCAATTTTACTCAATTTACATATTGAATACTTTTATTATTTCACGTATATATATATTGTATTTCAAAAACAAATATAGATTCCTTGTATAGATTACTCGTATCTTCCGATACAATAGCACAGTACAATCTAACCCAAAAAAAAAAAAAAATTTTAAGGATCCCGCTAAATACGAACAGATATAGTCATAAAAATCATTAAACCATGAACACGGATCACAAACCATTTATAGCCTGCAATTTTTATGTACGCAAACTACGTGTGATAGGGTTACGACATGTAAAATAGAAAAGGTTCAATATACAGAAGGTACAAAAGTGGAAATAAAAAATATTTGTTTTTTTTATTCTTTAGAAAGAAATAAAAGAATTTTCAGGTCAAAAAATTTCTATTTAGGATCCAAAATGTTTTAAATATCAATAGTTTTCTAGTGTTTTCTTCTTGTTGGTAAAATTCATTTTACCAACAAATAATATGAAATTTTAAATAATTTCAAAAAATAAAATTCAATTGAATGAATAGAAGGACATCAGTTAAGTGCTTCTTCAATTGGATATTTAATGAAGTAATTTAATAAAATAAAGAACAAAGCGTATAAGATTATAATAATTACATAATATTGAGTTTCATAATATGCATGTTCTTGGTTATTCTTGAATATCCTATTAATGCCCTATACTTATATAATTTGATATCCTCTTTGTTCTTTTAATTAGTTGTAAATTGAGTAATAAAACACAGCATATATTTAGAATATATTTGAGTATAGCAATTGAGACTAATGAACAGATCCCAATCAAATTGCATATAAAAATTCTTTGTTTTACTTTTCTTATATTAGTTTTATATAACACTGATGTAATTTAATATTAATTGTTAGAAAACTGATCTCATTCCATAATAGATTGAGTATGAATATTCGCTCTTCAAATCTATTCCTAATTCTTTTGTTTAAAATTTTCTTAGAATAACTTTGAGATCTATGAATTAAAAGTGTTAATATGTTAAACTAAAACTGTATGAATGAAATTAATGGCCCGAAATCTAATATAACAACATTGTAAAATGAAATTAAATTTAAGTTTCTGGTTATTTGGCTTAAAATTCATCGAATAACTTCGAAAGTTTTCCATTTGTAAAACACTCTATACAAATGTGATTCGTTATTAATTCGATTTGGAATAATAATAATTTTGTAGTTATTTTAATTATTATTATAAAATAGCTTGTAACTAACATTCATTTCTGTCCAAGTAAAATAACAATTATTTCTATAAGGTTTGGGTTAGCAGTCCAACTTACAAATGCGGATTAAACTACATTATTTATTGTTATATTAAGAACCATGTAAGTAACGTTTTGTGCAGTCACCAATAATCAAAGCCAATGTAATTTACAGAACTAAGTCGGCATTTATATAATGAACATTGTTTGTAGATTTTATTTGATAATAATTGAATTGATGTCACAGATAAAACCAAATCTATGAACAATACTAAATTTGCCTACAAATCTGAATTTCAGAATAAGTTCTAAAATTATTTTTTACAAGAATACTGAACAATTTGAACTATATTTATCTAATATTATTGTAAGACCTTTAAACTCTTTAACAGCGAAGTAACTTACTGTAATTCCAAATTTCTTAAAAGACATTAGAAAGAGTTTTGTTAGAAGTACCTAGAATTATTTAGAATGTAAACGGCTTGTGTTTCATAAACTATTTTCGTATAAAAGCCACAATATTTTTTAACAAACCTATATTTCTACCTTAAATACCAATTTTAAATAGCAATCCATAATATTCCATGTTTGTTTGCTTAAATTATTTTTACTCAAAAGCAATTCACAGGCACAATAACATGCTTTAATACCAGAAAATTTTCATATAGGCATAAAGTTTTTTAGCAAAAAATAATTGCCGAAGGTGAAAATTCAACCCAAAAATATGCAATGAGTTTATATTTTTTTTTTTTGGTTTTGTTCAGAGAATAATCATAAGTATAAGAATTGTTGGAAAAACTTTAAAATATTCTTATATTTTTTGTGTGTTTCAAATTTTTTTTTATATTTTTCATACATTTAAAGATTATGCTCGCATCATACTTCTTATATGTTGTTCCAAAAAAGTCTATAGTGAAAATAGACACTGGTATGGACATTTTTTTTCTTCTAAAATTTTGAGATCATTTTAAGCTTTAAAAGAATTTTATTAAATGAGAATAATATGACATTTAATTTTAAAGGTAATTCTTATATCTAAGGTTCTGGATCCAAAAAACATGCCTTTAATGAATTGCTTTTTGTGGGCATTTATAGGATCAAACAAAATAACATGCTAATTGTTAAAAATATCATCAAAAATGCGCTCTGGTAACTTTCTTTAATCGTCTTCTTTACCTTACGTTTCGTTTACATTCTTCTAGAATGATTCCGTTTTTTCTCTGAATTTCATGCACAGCTCGATTTTCTTTTAAATTGTATTTATCAAATTCACATGTAAAAAATGTTTAAAATGAAATGGAATATCTTACGAAATTGCATTTTTGATTTATTGAGGGTCCGAGGAAACAACAATCGATGCTGGTATTAGGGACTCATTGACAATTTTGCCGAAAGCTTAATCAAGTTTTTTATTTACATAACACAAATATTCCAAGAACTTAAATCATAGGAATAAAATTTAAAAACCATTGCAAAAAATTTTTAGAAACCGTTTTAAAAAAAAAACTTGGCAAAAAAGCATTAGAACTGCGGTTTCCAAAAATTAAATAAAAAATTTTCAAATAAAAATTGTCATCTTAATATTAAAGATTTAGAAAATCATATTTTAATAGAAAAAATTTAAACAAAAATAAATATTTCATCTAAAACTTTAAGGGCAATAAAATTATAAAAATATTCTAAATTATTGCATGTCCTTATTTTCCTTAACAGATCAGCTATTATTCTTTCCTTCTGAACAAGCAAAGCAAAAAGAGAAAAAGTCCGATAAATTTAAAGATTTTTCTTGGAATCTGGAATTTTTTCGAATTTTTATTTTTATGTTTTTTTTCTTTTTTTTTTTTCTTTCCTAATTATTTTAAGAATAAAGAAGAAGAAAAACAAAGAATGAAAATTATGCCATCTGTATTGTTGTTTTAACATTGTAGATTTTATATTTTTGAGAAAAAATTGAGTAGGTGGTTGGTTGAACACCGGAGTGTGGGGAAGTCGACAACAGAATAACGTGAATTGGAATGAAAACATGACTAATTGGAATCTGTTGTAACATTGCTTCAAATCTGCTTGACAATTTTTATCATGAATTTTTATTTTTTTTATTTTTTCTCTCTCTTTTCTGTTTTCAGTTCATTAATTGTTTGACATAAAACAGACAGATGTTTTACGAATAACTGTAAATTTGATAAAACACACTTAAACGGTAAAAAAAAAATTCTAAAAAAATATAAAGGAAAGACGAAAATGACCAGAATTTCTTTATTTTTTTTCCTAAGTGTTGTTGCTATATACGAATTTATTTATTATTATGATAATAGGTGGCCATAAAAATTTATTTGCATTTTATATTTATTGTACAAGTCAGAGTGAATTATCCTGATGACATTGGAATAAATTTTTTGATAATTTTTGTTAAAGAAAATGGAAAATAAGTAAAAATTTATCATTTTTGCAAAAAAAAGAAAAAAATCCCTACGAAAATTTCTTATATTTTAAGATATTTCACAAGTATATAAGAATATTACTTGTATGTATGTGTATTATATTTTTATCCATGTTATATTTATATAAATAAAGAAGAAATTTAATGTGATATACAATGTAATTTAAAATTATATACAGACAATAATTGCCAATAAGTAGATTTTTATTCAAAAACAATCCTGGCAAAGAAAGAATATTTTGCCTTCAAATTTAAGAGTATTATAAGCGAAATGGAATTTATTAGAAATTATTTCGAATGAATTTAATACCAAAATAAATAACAGTTTTGATTTGATGGGTAATTAAAAACCAATATAGGATTAGATATTAATATTAAGCGGCGGTCTATTCAACTACACATAGAATTTTGACGGCAATATATTTGGCATTAAAATATTGTTACCAACTGTCGATAATACAATAAAGTTATTGAAATGCTCAAAAATGAAATGTGTTTGTTGTTTTCTATCTAATATCATACGCAAGATTCATTTGTACTCCTAAAAGTATGCAAATTTTTGTTTTTTGTGTGTTTTTGTTCTTATGGTAGCTTTTAAATTTTAAAATTAATATTTTCATTAAAATTATTTTAATAGTTTACACACATCAATAATTACTAAAAAGTGAACATTTTATTCTAAAATATTACCGACAAATCGCAAAAATTACTCATATTCTTTACATTTTCCGCATTATGATTAATATTTTATTTCACAAATCTAATGCTTCTAAAGTTGGATATAATAAAAAATTCTCTAATTGGTTTTTTAAATAAATAACAATGATTTTTAACAGGAAATGTGCTTTCTATTATTAACTATAAATTTTCAGTT